GCTGGTGCTAGACATGCCTTTTTAGTTCCAGAAACGTTGAATGTTGATCGAATGTAGGGGATTTGATTGAAATCCCTTAAAAGTTGAAAGTTTATTCAAAATTTTTGAGTAAGATGAGAAAGCTTGTCAAATAGTAATTTTGTTATTATGAGCCTTTGTTATGAGCCTCTGGAGACTAATTTGTATACATGATTACTTTGAGGCTTTGCCTATTTTTGCATTTTGTCGCATTTTGTTCGAGTGTTTGATTGTGAATTGAATATTTGTTGAAAAGAATAAATAATTGTACTCAATGTGGAAATATTTTCTTTGTGAAGAAATGTTGGATAAAATTGAAAGTGTGCTTTATATACAAACAAGGAGAGAAGTGCGGAGTATATATAAGATTTGGTCCTAAATGTGAGGAGGCATTCACTTGGAAATAACACGACCAGAATTAATCGTCAGGCTGAAGGAGCACTAAGTAGCAAAGTAAAGTTGTATAGTTAATCGTTATTTGTTATTCGTAATAGCGAATAACTCTAACTTTCCTTATTCCCCGGAAAGTAAAGTTAGAAGTTATTTGTTATTCACTAGGGCAGATATTGAAGTCCAGGGCTGAAACGGCGTAAGCTGTTAGAAAAAAAAATCAAGTTAGACTTTGGTTTTACCATTTTTGGTTTATTTGAGAAAAATTTGACTTGATTAAAAAGTCGCCCAATTCAGTTATATTAACAATGTTGATTAACAGAATTCATGAGGTCTGTATGATGTAAGCAGAAACAACCCGAAGGTACAACCTTTATGAGTGTTCCCCGGAGTAGGAGGTTAGGCCTACACTACATCAAGTCATAATACCATGGTGACGTTTTCAGAACAACAACGCATGTTAGCTGTCTTTTCCTAAATAGGGAATGACAAGTGTATCTGTTCCCTAGCAATAATAACAGAATATAATTGTGCAGTGTAGGAAAAAGTGATGTGAAAATTTGGCATTTTCATTATATACTAATAAGTATTAAATGTGTAAAAGTAGACATTCCTACTCTGCTTAATCAGTAAATTAATAAAAGGCCAAACTGTGAGTTGACCCACACACTAACATTAACGCTGGTTATAGAATGCGGCACATATAACAGGTACTGGGTTAATAACCAGGGATAAGTTACTAAGATTGTTTAGTTAATTCATTACATAATACCCCAAGTAACCAAATCAGGGTTGGTCAAGTAATCGCTTGCATATTCCTGGTAAAAGATCAGGAAAGTTAAAAAGCATTATTACCCAAGTACCACTGGTAATCCAACCAGAGTTGATCTACTTAACATTCGCATAGCCATGGTAATAAAATTAAGTTTGGTTAGGTAATTGTGATGATTATGCGATTTTCAGTAGAGTCATTCCCCTTTGAACAAACGTTAAGTTAACGTTCTTGGAATCTAAATTTGTATTGATTTCTCTTTATTACTGATGATTAGCGAAGTTTGATCAAAACCAATACTACCAGAATCTTTTATTAATTACTCGGAATGGATATGACATTACTTTGTGTGAATGTTGCAGGATACTTATTGATAATTGAATAAAGGTGATGATTATGCAAATTGAGTCAAAGGAAAAACAACGGATGAGATTCAGCGAAACAAAACAAAACCAAGGTGCATGATTTGCCGGGTTTTTTTTTCATTTTCAGCCATGGTGCAAAACCGAAGTTATTTCTGCACACGGTGTATACAATCAATACAACTGAAAACAATACACCTGAATAAATGAAACAAATGATCCCAGAGGGATCTTGGCGCCCATCATTATACCATCTTCATTGGTTCTTTGTCAGTTTGATCTTTTCTCTTATCTGTTTGATGGAATCATGTTAACAGTAAATGCACCTTGAGGTAACTTTTGATCTTAACAATACTGCTTTGCATCAACGACAACCTTCAAAGTGAGTTTTTCGTTTCACATGTTTACTGGAAATAGGACCGAACATTGCAATATGAGAACGATCTGTTAAGTTGTTCCATTCCAAGATGGCTGCCTGTCGGCCATGTTGTTTATCAGAGCAGTCTTAAAAGTAAGCATGCACAACTACAGACCAAAAGGAGCCTACATATCAAATTTGAGGAAGACCTCTCAAGTGCTTCCTGAGAAATAGCGATAACAAACCTTTGACGTCAACATCCAGCATGATTGCCTGTCGACCATTTGTTTATCCGATCGNCTTTCATACATTTAACAAGCAATGTGCACATAATTGAACAAATAAAAGGGTGGTATTTACATGACGTCTTTGCAAAGATTCTAAAATGCAGACGTGAAGAGGTGAGTTTTTATGTCCCTCTTGAACTTGGCCAGGGTATTTGACTTCCTAATAGCAGATGGTAAGCTATTCCACAACGTAGCCGAAACCCTCCCAAAGCATCTGTTTCCGTAGGTCACAGTACGAGATTTTGGGACACACAACAAAGATTCTGACTCCGACCGCAGTGATCTTGACGGCTGATACAGGGTAACAAGCTCCTGTAGGTACTGAGGAGCTGTTTCATTCAGTGCCTTGTATGTGTATACCAGAATTGTGTACTGTGACCTGTATCGTACAGGTAACCAGTGCAACGAATTAAGCGCAGGTGTGATGTGCTCCCTAATTCGAGTACGAGTAACTAGCCGTGCTGCAGTGTTTTGGACCCTCTGCAGACGACTAGTTAGTTTGTCAGATATACCACAGAGCAGGGCGTTACCATAATCCAACCGAGAGGTAACTAGTGAATGCACCAAAATCTTGCATGCATCTGCAGTTAGAAACTGCCTAATACAGCCGATGTTCCTGATCTGGTAGTAACAGGATTTGGCAATAGCGTTCACTTGTTTCTCCATGTTCGGAGCACTGTCAAAGTATACCCTAGGTTTTTAACAGCTGGAACAGTCTCAATAGTTCTGGCACCAACCTTGAGCTGGAGAGCCATTGTTTGTTGACACTTTTGGGAAAATACTATTAGTTCCGTCTTTTCCTGATTAAGTTTAAGCATGTTGGCGTTCATCCAGATACTGATATCTGTCAGACAAGCTTCCAAACTCTCTGAGACTGTATTCCAACTGTCCTGTGGTTTTATTACCTTGTAATTTATGGCAAATCTCTCCAATCGGTTTGGAGTACATACAATATTTTCGTGGTCTTAACACCGACCCTTGAGGAATCCTGAAATCTAGTACTTTTAAACTTTTAAAAAGAAAACATGCACAACTGCAGACCATGGTGAACCCACATATAAAATATGTCCTTCCTGAGAAATAGCGATAACAAATCTTCAATGTCAATGTCAATATCCGATTAGTCTAAAAAATAAACATGCACAACCAGAGGCCAAGGGGAACCGTCATATCAAATTTGAGAAACATGCCAAAAGGGCTATCTGAGAAATAGCGATAACAAACCTTCACTTACAAAGTTCAAGATGGCTGCGTGTCGGCCATTTTGTTTATCCGATCAGTTTAAAAGGTAAACATGCCCGATAAGAGGCAAAGAGGAACCTTCCTATCAAATTTGAGAAACATCCAGTTCTTCCTGAGAAATAGCGACAACAAACCTTCACTTACAAAATCAAAAATGGCTGCCTATCGGCCATTTTGTTTATACGACCAGTCGCAAAAGTAAGCATGCACAACAAGGGATCAGGGGAAACCTTCATATTAAATTTGAGAAAGATCCCTTAGGCACTTTCTGAGAAATAGCAATAGCAAGAATCGTTTAAGGACGGACGACGGACGACTGACGACTGACGCAGAGGGACGTACGGACCACGGACGAAGGACGATTTGAAAAGCCAACCATCAGATGATGGTGGGCTTAAAAGGAATGACCTTATGCAATTGATTATTTTACACTCTAACTATGCAAGTAAAATCAGTACATACTACGAATTATTATAGTTATACTGATTAGGCGATTGTTCATTCTAAACACAACTTTCAAAATCTTGTTAATACACAGTAAAACATACACAGCACTTTAGTAAAAACGAAAGAAAAAACAAACAAGCACAGGTTAAACAAAAGACAAAATTGGAAAATACCAAATGAAGCCTGAAATACACCTCAAACAAACGGGAAAACACCGTAAACCTCCACAAAATATGTAGGCAATACTTGGATTTTTTCAGTGATAATCGACATCAGTTCCTGTTCTAAGTGTGGCACCTGTCAGGAAATCAAGTAGATATACTGTAGGCAACTGACCATTTGCGGGGCTTTCCATGATTAAAAACGTAGATTTTGACATAAAACGTACCAGAAGGTGTCTTCTGTTACTGTATTGATTGATTGACATTCTAAAAATAGAACTCCAGAGATGTTTGTTTCACTGTAAGGACAACACAAAGCAGGCACTTACCCTTGGAGTAAGATTATTTTACTATTGAGGTCATCGTCTGCGGTATGATTAAGTGACTATAAAACGCTCTCATTAGATATAGGTCACATTAAATTAATGAGTTTTACTACAATGTATTGTCCAAAACGATGATTAACCTTGTCTCTCATGTTTTATACGATTGTTGTATTGAAACGCTACGTGAGATATGTTCAGTCATTAAAACTCTCAAATATACATTAAAATATAATAGAATTGATGAGTTAACCATATAGAATAACAGCTCACCAATTAAACGTTTTCAAGATTCGGTTGCTGAAGATAAATATTTCAAAAAGATGAATACTGCAAGTTAGGTAGATGCCTAAGCGGGTTTGTTATTTTAACAAAAACAAAAAAAATGTTTTTGCATGATTATTACCTGAAGAGAACACGTTCATTTTAAGGAACGCTGGAAAATGTTTATAAACATGAAAAGCTGTCAATTTCGTTTAAAATTGTCCAAATAAACGTTGCCGATTTTCTTTGCGAAGCAATACTAACATGCAAGTAAACCTGTGATAGTCATTTTGATTTTATTCTACATCAATTTATCTCTTCTAACATGAGAGAATGGTTATGGTGCATATATTGTTATATAATGACAGACAGCATATGAAAACCTCAATAAGTGTTTATTTCCTATGTCAAATGTCATATCCCTGTCAAAAAGGTGGATTTGCATCACCACGATTATTCGAAAGACAAACTATATTCGTGCTAAAAAATCTTCAAATTACTGTGTGTGATTCGGTAAATGTACATTTAAACCAACTGCATATAATTGAAATAAAATAAAATTTAAATAAAGGTAATACATGTTGCATGCATGTTTAGATTTTAATAAACAACAATAGAATAAAACACAAAATACACAATGCCTTTATTCAAACAGCATCGATTATTTTTTTTTACTTTTGAAATTGTGACTTCTTACGGACGTTGAACTAGAAATTCAGAAAATATTATCTGTGTGACACAAAGATGGATTTCCGTAGCTGCACGTGAAACTTGTGGTAAATCTGTTTAGTTCAATAAACACATTTTCTTGCATTTGTCAATTTGTTTTTTCATTCATATTTTAAATTAATCATATAAGTATACATATGCATAGCATCTATATGCGACCAAAATTTTATTGTGAACATTAACTGGGGGCTTAAAGAAATCAACTTCTTACAGAAGACTAAATTGACGTACATTCAAGTACACTGAATTTCTTCACGGATGCATAGAAAGTATCTGGTCGAAATACAACCACAAACACATCGATATTACGACATTTACTGAACAATGTAGAGATATGTCAATTGTCAGATACCGTTAGACTTAACTTTGACGATTTGTAACCTATATGGACTTCTTTTCCGCCATAATACTTCATGAAATAGCTGTTTTTCCCTTCCATTAAAATCAAACATAATAATAACAACAATGAAAGCCTACTGAAACCCATCTTGAGCACACACTTAGTTATCCTGTTCTATGGGAATACCGGTAAGTGAAAGCATACAAGCGAAAGAACAATGTCAAAAGGGACAAAATGGTTCACACCATTGGTCTTTTATATTGTAATACGTTGCGAAATGTCTGTTTTGCGCTGAAAATAGAAACTCATGATGTACTGACGCCCATGCGTCTTTATTTAGGGGTAGGAGTGCCGCACCCTAACCACGCGCTAGCCTTCTTTTTAGGATAATCCCTCACTACTCGTCGGCTGTAATCGTCTACCTTGAAATAGCTGAAAAATAATTTAAGCAAATTAATTAAATTAATAAAGAGTGGGCTTAACAGCTGACAATCCCTGTGATTCATTTTAATTAAATGGTTATAGATCAATGTTATATGATTCACACTTCTATTCCTGAAAACTCAACACTAAAGTGAATATTAAAAGCTGGACAACTTCCTTTATATGCTATATACTGAAATATCTTCTCGGCATTTAAACTGACTTTTTCTTTTAGCTCAGAAAATGAGGGCAAATTCGTCATGAAAGGAATATCAGAACACAGTATAATAAAAAACGAAATGAACACCTAGCAAATTAGGTTTTTACCGGAGAAGCGCAAATATTTGACTAGAAATGTTTTTCAGTACATAGCATTTCCAAATCATAATTGAATCTGTTCTGAACAAAAAAAATATATTAGATAGAGAGACCAACTGCCCAAAGTATTTAAATACATCAATATTTTGCTAACTTGGCGTTTCTATGGAACATTAAATTCAAAATACAAAATGATATTATTATTAAAGAGTTTTACTTGCTCGTGGATCGCATTACCGATACAAAAGTCATATGTTCATGTACATTTCAAGGCATTGAAATAATAGGCAATATTCAAACTGCATTCGATATATCAATTTAAAATACATTGATGTAAAGTACTAAGTGTCGTATGAACAGAATTTAATTGTACGTACTTGTGTCCTTTGAAGAAATAGGTATAGCGATTGTAGCGGATGGCAGCCTCTACATTTGTCGGTACACCTGGGAAAAAGGAGGATACAGGTCTGGGATACCCTCGTGGTGGCTGGGTGTATCCTTCGGTCCAAACGCTATACTCGGAACCCTGTCATATTGCACACATACGAATGTTTTGTTAATTTACAGAAATGACAAATAAACATAACAAAAAAGCTACAAGCAAACAAATTTTAACGAAAATCATCACTTTAACACATCAAATCGGTTTTGTTTTAGTGTCGAGTCATGACTGATTTATCAATAAGTTGGAACTAACTAAATAATAGGTAGGCAACGGGTGAGTAAACAACCATTTCGAAGTTAGTGTCTGGTAGTGTAAAAAGTCGTCATAAACCGTATAAAAAGGTGAAATCTAAACTGCATTTCTAAAAAACAAAATTGTATTTTTAAATTGAAATTAAATGAATTAATGTACTTTATCCGATTTGCCCTAAACTATCCACCAATATCATATTGGCCATGTATTATGTGAATACAGAATTACCTTGAATAGATAAACATTTCCGTCGCGCCAGAGCACAGCGGCCTTGACATTCCTGTACCAATTGCTTTCGCCTTTGATAACCTTTGGGTACCCGCTGTCCAACTGCCCTCGGGTGTATCGCCAAAACCTCTTACCTACAATACAGTGTGGTTTATAGTTAATTATAAATATATACAAACACACACATTTTTAGTTAGCTGCTAAAGTAAGCTGCAATCAAAACGCTTTATCTTAGTATAAAACATCATCATTAGATTTTGAAGAATTGGTATTAGAATATTTTTGATATTTAAAGTTTGATTGGCATATCCACTGTTTGAATAACACATGTATATGCTTTTTAGGTTATAGTTCACAATTATATGAGTACAGGACCTATCGAAACGATACATAATTGCATTATATGAAGGGCGATAATGTTGAGTCACCCAGGAAAAACATACGTATTTTGTCTGTGCCGTTACTTTACGGGAGCACTCTCTCTCCTTTAATTTTTGGATCTCTCATAACCCTAATGATTTGTTAATTGTCAATCAATTTGGTGATGAGAACAATTTTGTTGACACCATGTTGCATGTTGTGATGACAGTATAAGGTAACTCTCAGTATGCTACATTTCAAGTTAATTGAAAATGGTGTAAAAAAAGAACTGTCACACATTGTAAATATGTAAAACCCCATACAAATCATTCTAGGCATACATAAATGTACAGCAATGACAACAATAGTGTGGATAATGACAGAACTATAATATGTCACCGAATGAAACTATTCTGAGAAAAGAGTACCGACACGTTAAACTATATCATTGTTATTGTCATTAATTTGAAATATTTGTAAAAGTCTTTTGAAACGAATCGCATGATGCAATGCATTTTACAGAATTACATTTGCTTGAAATTTTAATGTTTTAAAAATAGAATATTTAGTTATAATTGACGCGAAGGTACCCTTTACCTTAAACAAACTATAATTATCATGATAGGTGTGAGTTGCTTTTCAAGGAAGGTATTGCTACCCTTCTATATCATTTACGTTGTTTTTACTCTTACACTAATAAGATTTTTAGATAACTTTGAAATGGATTCTACGGAAGAGTATATGGCCATGTAGACAAAATTAAATTTCGTTTTGTCGTGTTGATAACTCGAAATTTCGACTTACTTACTCTACATGGCCCTATTGCTCTTCCGTAGGATTCTGAGAAGGAAGCTTTAATTGATAGAAAAAAATCAGAAATTATGTTTTTGTCACATTCTGATGGTATTTATGCATATTATCAGCAGGGAATGTTTTGATCTAGCATAGCAAATAGCCAATATTTGTCTCACCTTTGAAGAAGTACAGTCGCTGGTTTCTAGCCTTGACTATAGCGCCTGGGTTTTTCGGAGCCCTACGAAACACCCTTCTGATGTATCTTCCTCTTTCAACCCCATTGACGTCGGACCGAAACCTATACACTTTTGTTCCTCGTACAGCATAAATACGGCCATCGTCACCTGCAATTTTAATTTTCAAAAGCAAGTTTACAAAATCATAAATCTAAATGTTTTATACTTTTATCATCTGAATTGCAGAATTTCACGTTGGTTATTATATTAACTTAGATACGTAAACATGTCTTTGATATCATCAATATTTGTATCGACAAGCTGCAAACTTTCAGTTCCAAACCGACATACGTTTGAGGTAAAATAAGCCTTCACAAGATGAACATCTGAAAAGTTAAGTTTTCTGTAAATTAAAATAATGACTTAAGTTTCTGTATGAATATATTTAAAATCTTGTTCATGAAAAAGTATCCACATTTGCTTTTTTGGGGGTTAAATATCCTCGCAATAAGTTACGTAACTCGTGACGGCGGATGCCTAGATAGCTATCATGGTTCTTCTATGTTCTCAAAGTAGGCCACAAAGGAAAAAAAATACCATTTTCTTCAAGAGGGGAAGGGAGGTGGCTGGGGTTGTGTGTTATTAGTCGTTCTTACGAGACATAGCTGGATGCAGCAGGTCTATTCTTTCACGTATTCCAGGCCAGGAAACCTCACAATATATGAAGTGTGAGTTTTTTATCAATCTAATTCCATTTATTTACACGACATATAGAGGCATGTTAAATTCACTTATGTGCATAAAATGTTTTTACGCAGTCCTGTCGCTGTTCTAAATAAAGGGAAGTAAACCCCGCGGCATGTCAGCGATTTTTAAAAGATCCCCATTTATATTGACGCCAAATCACACCTCTAGTGTGACGTCATAATTATGTTGACGTCGTTTAGCTATAACGTTATCACAAAACTGGCGCCATGGACTTATCTACTGGTATAACTGATTTTATTTAACATCTCGAGACGATATTTTGCAACATTCAGGAAGCGATTTCACCTCGACTGTGATAAATATTATCCTTGAATCCCTCACAATACGTCAAGGGTATTATGAGCAATAGCGTAACCATTGTTTAATGGCTATAGATAACAAATATCACTTTCTTCCGATGCTACTTTGGTCAATATATCTTGTATTTTTTTTACGTCTTTACCACTACAATAAACTTAATGTCACATTTTTATATGCCCCCCAAAATGTCTTTTTTTAGATGTCAATGATGTTAACGCTCTGATCATCTTAAAACCGCGTGTTACAGACACCGAAGAAGCATGTAAACATAGACATATCAAACTGTGCGGTATGTCTGGTTGATAGAATGTGTAAAACAACTGTATAAATGTCAAAACACAATTAATGTGATTATGTGATAATATGTCGAAAAACAACGTTGAATAGGGGGAAAAGAGGGGCAGTAATGATAGGTCATCGACTATCCTCCTTTTATGAAACCAATGTGTTTACAATGTGTCATGAAATACGTTTTAGATATTGATATATAGCATATGTCTTGTGGTAAGATAAATACATTTTAGAAATTAATATGCATATTGTACGTCTTCCGGCAATGTAGATCAATTTTAGAAATTCATATTTATATACATGAGTCAAAGAAGTAATATAAACGGTAACATCCCAAATAACACTGGAGATACGCATTACTTAAAAGTTGTATATTGGGCAAGGAAGTAACTCATACGGTGTAGACAACATGAGCTTGTCAATTTTTCTGACCATTCCGGTTCTTTATCGAGACACGGAAAATAACAGAACACTCACATTCAGCAAAAACATAATAGATATATAAAGGATATAACTGACATCAAAACACAATAAACCCCTTAGCTAACAAAGGCCAAAGTATCGTTGACCAATGATAATGTTGTGTGGGTGTGGGTGCAACCAATGACGACTGGAAAAAAATGACACGACGATTCGACCAGTGATGATGAATAGGTAAATATACGTTCCTGCGACAAATATCTCATCAAAGTGTTGTGAGGTTACGAGAAATAAGTATAACAAGTAAGGGACGAAATGACACACCAAGAAACAGACATTTCGTCCACTAAATCTGATATCGTCTGTCAGTCTCATACACTGACAAGTAGCAGCTAGTGTGTGAGTCGGCAAACAAATATCAATTAACTATATGTCAAATAACTACCGAGGAGGGAAACAAATTGAGAAATAAGCAAAGATTTATAATTCAAACCTACTGACACCCATCAGTACCTCTGCCCCTCCATTCGTCACCCACCACACACAACCAAACGCATCCCATATTCACTAGCGCTGATAATAAGACGTATTGTCTCTGATGATGATGATGTCAGCTAACTCCGCTGTACGGAGCTTTGGTTACACCTACTCTGTATGGGTATACAGAGTAGCTCTGCTCATGAAATCGACATAGTAAAGCAAATGGAGAGGACAAGTATGCTCCAATACCAAGTCATACTTAAAACTGAGAGGGTGCCTTCCATGGGTACCTTCCATCCTTACATGCTATCGCTCTTAAGTATATTCAAAACTTGTCGAAGCTATTGAAACAGAAGTACGGATGCGTAAAATCTCATTTGGGTAATGCCACTTATGTCAAATCAATAATCTGTAGCGTGTATATATTATGATCCATGTCAAACCTCAAAAGGTATTAAAGAGTGACCATCAATGTTATAGCAAATTTAGGAAATTCACCAACAGAGTCTACCACCTTTTACCTTGAAAGATGAACACAGGACAAGCACATTTAATTGCACCTATACTATTTAGTTATAGACACAGTGTGTACAAATGAGAATAGCATCTGCTGTAGGAGCATTAAAGTTTAAAGATGTAGACGAATTGCACACCTACACAGTGTCATTCATAACATGAACAAAGATCCCGTACCACAATACAGTGTACTTATATCCCTACCTTTTTTCTGTTCTGCAGTCTTCGTCTGTTATGAATTTTACTTTACGAGTAAACGGGTACGATAAATTGTCTTTTAAATTGAAAATTAACTAAAAAAGAGCCAGTAAATTGTATTTTGGATTGAAAGTTTTAAACTGTAAGTCTTATTTGTTAACATGTATTCAGCAACGCAGTTTTCTTGCATGATCACAAATTGAATTCAAGTGATTTTCTTCTTTCAAACAGGGATGCTAAATAAAGTAAAACAAATAAGCCGCTATTTTCTAACGGAAAAAACCCACTATATTTGCACAAAACGAATATGAATATTTAAAAAGTCATAAAATAGACGAGACATCATAAATTACTGCAAGAATACGAACGCAAATAAAATAAAATGTCTAAAAGGGTAGACAAATCCTTAAACGCATATGGTATGCGTCGTGAGGTCTGCTGGGATATCAATATATCACACCAAGTACCCCGTAAAATGGGGATAGCAATTGCTGTTTCTGCTATTGGTTCTCAAAATATAAGGCAAAGGTAGCTATGCAAAAATAATTGTCATAGTGTAAAATAGAGACAGCATTTATGATTTATCAATGCAGCTTTATCAAACAAGTGACAAATAGAAGGTGAAAACCTTTGGTAGGTTTGAAAAGTGAACGCGAATTATTTTATTTTTTATTTTATCTTTCTTTCTTTAGTGGGGGCTGCGAAAGTGGTGTTCCATGCTTTGACATATTCGTAGAAATGTCTATGTAAATATTCATTCTTCATTACCACTATGTAAACCTACCAATGCCAGCGCTGTCAAATAACAGTCGTAATCATAACATTCGGATAGCTAGCTAATACCTATTGATTGCTGTTCAATTTATTGAAAATGTATCTTAAACCTGAAGGAGGAATAGCAAATCTAAGTATCAATTATTTGTCAAAATATATGCAAAAGATAGATGTAAGTACTGGAGTGCGTTCTTCTCAGTATCATAGTCTCATAGTTCTGAACAGAATAAGAGGCAAATATTAATCTCGGTTTTTCAATTATGGCTTTGACCATGTTTAGAATAATTATTGGGCTATAACCCTGATGCAGTTCTATACTTAATTACACTTGTACTTTGTATAATATGATCCATATTTCTCTATTGGAATCATATTTTTTGCTCAGGCACATAGGGGTCATCAATCATGTCTTAATTACCGGTAAATGTGTCGTCGAACTTGAGGTTGCAGTCAGTTCCCTGGGGGGCCCTGGTGGTAGTTGGTCGCCTCGTTGTCGGGCGAGGTCGAGAGGTCGGCCGCGGAGCGCGCGTGGGCGTGCCACTGCTCGTGCGGACACCTAACAAAAGAACAGAAAAAAATATTGTTAATGGGCGTGTGATCGGCGATCATGTACATGTATGTCGTAAACAACAACAGTCACGGTTAACAATAACTACACAAATGTCAACGTCGCTTATACTCTTCAATGTAATCAACACATGCTGCGCCCCCTAGTGGACAATCGATGTAATCATAAATCTTTTGAATGTCACACGTTCGAGGTAGTTCTATAGTCAGACTATTCGCCACTGTAGATAGATAAGGATAAATGGTTGGTAGCGCACTTTAAGTCGCCGCTTCAGGTGTTGCCAGTTATTTCCACTTAAACACTGTCGGTCTGATGGACACGAGCTATCCATAACTGTCCATTCTAAATTCTAAAAGCCTGACAGTCTTCTAATGTTCTAAGCACTCTCCATTTATTCTCATTGTATCTATTACACACTGGACGTGTTTGAATATGTGTCTTTCATGATTGTTAAGTTAAGCACTTTGACATGTCCAAGTTTTTCTATCAGAAAATACTACAAACCGAAATACTGCATGCCTTCCGAGATTCTATGCAATTACAGGGAAATCCTATCTAATCGTCACTGATTTCACATTTAATAAAAAACTGTTATCGGCGGAACTTAAAACATGAAACAGAAGTATTTCCCCATCGCTACAATGTGTTGCTGTAGCTGATTCTCCTCCTTATTAATTGTTGTCATTATGTGCTTATTGATAACGAAATTTCCCAAAAATTTACTTTCAAACGGGAAAACTTCGGTCTCAGTTTTCGAATTTTAGAAAAGCGAGGGAGAATTAAAAACACCTATTGTTGGAAGGTCGATGTATTGATAAATATCCTCATCGTTAAAATAGTCGAATCCTACTGGATAGATTATGTTGCCGATGTACTTTCGAAAACAATACAGTTACGTCGTTAAAACCTGTTACTTGATACCAAAACCATAAAATGTATCATAACATTTCTGTCATAATCCGTAATATCCATCTTTACGAACTAGTTTAGCAACGATCAAATCAAATATCATTTAAGTAAAATTGCGTACGACAAGATAAGCTAATTTTTCATCCACGTGAACACAATAGGCATGCTGCCGTAAATACTGAATTAACAATCCCCTTTGTGTACCTGAAAACGAAGGATAACACGTTACCATAAAGGCTCTGGATTGCCTGTATGTCGTCATTCCCAAGCCCGTAGTTAGGATCATATCCAGAATAGTAAGGGGCCATCAGAGCCCCTGGTACATTAGAATGACCAAGCCCAAGAGCGTGACCGAACTCGTGAGCCGCAACAATCTCAAGGTTGGTACCCTCGGAGCTTCCCACTGTCCATCGTTCGGAGTCATCGAAATGGGTGTCACCGGATATGTCTCCGGAACCAGGAAAGAACGCATGGGCAAGTGTGCCTCCTGTAATTAATGGCAAAAAGATTCAATCACTTTTGATCATAATATTGGAGGGACTTCAGTGATACATTTGCCTGTTTTTGGCGTGTGCACTAGAGAGAAAATGTCATGTTAATCATTTATCTTTTTAATTAAATAGCAAAGATCTATATTATTATAAATGTTCCTCTTATTTCCTTCATTTTGTATATCAAATGACAGTGAAACGATTGTTATTAGGCGTTATATAAGGAGAGGATAAAAAACGCTGTTTCAAATTTGTATGTATCGCTAATGACGTCATCGTATTGTTGCTTTATAGTCGCCATTTGCCATCAATATATTGGACGAAGTTAATTAAGTCCTTGAATGTTTGAGCAATTGATGAGCACATTTACACCAATACATATATACATGTGTGAGTGTGTAACCAAGGAATTTGTTAAAATCACTGTTATATATTATAGCGCCTACTTTAGCCTTAGCTTGTTGCCGTTTCATACCATATACACATTGTAGCTTGTTGCTCTTAGATAACATAGCAAGTACCTTTTCAACCTGATCTTAATAACAATCTTACAATCTTCATCATCGTCAATTCTTTCCAATGTTTTTTTTCTCTAATAGCAAAAGTATTTCGTTTGTGATTATTAGTTCAAAATACAAACTTGCTTCATCCTTTAAGGAAGCTCATGAATATCTATCGAGCTTAAGTATGATTTGTAAAATGTAAAAACATTATAACTCTCTGTCCATAACCCTGTCTTAGTTGAACGATATGAATGTCGACCCATCCTCTTTCTTAATCAGTACATACAATCATTTAGCCATCCTTAAGGTTTTTCGAGAGTTACAATCGCTATAATGGATAATTCCCCACGCTAAAGTAAATTAACATACAGGCATCATATTTGTTAATGTAATACTTACCTTCACGGTCAAACGGATAACTGTCCCCGTGATTTCCCCGACCGTAGCTGATCAGAATATCGGCACTACTTCCGGAGACTTCCCGGAAGTTGATGTTGGCCTGGGTAGACCATTTCGCCAAGGCGTTCGCAATAGAAACACTGGAAAAAAAACACTTACCATCTTTACACAACTTAGTTGTAAAAATGCATCGCAAATGAAACAAGAGGCAAATGGGTCTTATTTATCACCTTGGTTGTAATACTTTTACTTTTTGTCGTTGTGATTTGACAAAAACTACTAGTACAAATGATCCAAATAATCTTTGATGCTCGGGCGTGACCGACATAAATTATTTATATCAGTTTTAATAATAGTAAGATGATAGGTGAAACACTATGTTAACATAATACAATAAAGAAATATTCGTCTCAGATGAACAAACTAGAAAACCGATAGGTTAACAAGAGACCTGCCATGTGCCTAACCGTATCCCACCAATGGGCTATTTTTGAAACAGTGACCTAAACCTTACACTCTTTTCAAATCCCATATTGCACATTTAACTATCATGATGTACCAACATAGAATTATTTTTTCCTCGATTAGGACCGTACCCCCACGGTCAGTTTATAGTTACAGTGACCTTGACTTTAGAACATTTGTAAATCATTATTGCACATCCACATGTATCACCATGCCAAATTTTAGAAAGATTAGGCTTTTGGATTCTGAGATAATATTCTCCGGAAACAAGGTGTTGACAGACGGACAGACAGAAACACACATAGTTATTTCCATAGGGCTACCGAATTTCCTACGGTGGGCCCTTATAAACCCCATAACGTTAAAAATAGTGTTTTAAAGATTTCCGAATTTCATATATCATGCTTATTAGATTTTGTACTGATGAAAAATCAGAAATTCTTAATTTATCAAAACAAATCTGTTATAAACCGTACTGTTGCGAGGACGCTGACCTCGTACATGTAACATGCTGCGATTTTGAATACCGACGACATAGGGCAACGTCCTTCTTTGACACCACCTGCGCATAGCGGAATCTTACAAATTCGCAGGGACAGCAACTAGACAAAAAGCCATATTTTAAGTATGTGTTCCCTGCGCAAATTACTAAGACTATTACTACAAGACCTATTGCCTCATCCGTTTCTCCCACCACTCTTTCACAGGAGTGTCCAAGTCTTTGCCGGGAAAGTTCCACTAGAAGAGTTTGCTTTGTACAGAAAAGCACACGCTAAATTGTGACGTCATAAAATGAATAGATATTTTGACGTCATAAAAAGTGAATGGCGATATTTATACACCACGTATGCGTTTGTTAACAAGACACACCCGACTACCGTCGCTGTGCCTGAAATAAAAGGATGAGGGCAAACTCATTATCTCCAAATTGAGGTTGTGACAGAAAAATATCTTATTTTTGTCTAAACTTCGGCAAGGCCTCCGGTTAGACCACCATGCAGATCAACCGTCAGGTAAGGGCTTTCTCTGTCAAACTTTCAAGGAAGGAGAAGATGCTACTTATCATTTCGCATGACACATTGACTTTTTATGACAAGATTTACCGCCTCAGGAAATTTGAAATCGGATTTATATGTTTCAATTCAATTGAAAACAAATCACAAATAACAGTGTGTTTTTATCGAAATGATTTATATCCCAAGTTATCAGTTGTTACAGATGGTTATTCCGTCTTTGCGTATTGCAGAGTTGTCCTCTCTTGGGAGCAGGTATTGATTGTTACGTCACTTGTTTGAGAGAGTAACGTCATCAATTTTTGAGAAAACGACGTAATTTTCTCACACAAATCAATGACGTAACAATCAATACCTCCTCCCAAGAGAAGATAACTCTGCGATACGCAAAGACGGAATAGTAAATTAAATATCTTATTAATTATATTTTGCAGATAACGGCGCCTAATACCAAGTAACACTTACCGTTGTTGTCCACGCTGCAGTTGGCTCGTGTAGCTTACAAAAGAGTACGTCACTGTGGGTTTTTCCCACTTTGAACCTGTTAGATGAAGGGCATTTTGTATTAAGATATAGACAATTTCTTTTATCTCACACACAAATATTAATTGAGATATAAAAAAAAAAGGATATGCCAAAAGCTACTGAATAAAATAAAGTACTGGAGATGGATTAGAAACTTGTTTCCAAATCCTATGTCAACAATAATGTATTGCTTTATATAATACTGTAAATGCAAAAAGAAATGACAATTAATTTTATGTTAAATGAAAATTTTCTATAGAGTTAGTAACTTTTCCAATGATAAGAAGTATTTTCAGCGTGGAAAGGAAGTGAATCTTTCAAGCGATGACCTGCAAATTCCTGATGAACTTATCGCCGGAAGTGGCCCTTTATGATGGAAACCGCAAAGATGTGTGCTGTACTATGATTTACAAAGTAGGTTAACATTGTCCAAATAACCTTGTGAAATGTAACCGTCACCGGAAATATGACATACGATTATATTGGTTGACAATTTTCTTCGTTTAGACAATATGTATACTCTAATACCGAAATAATGGACTTTTAGTGAAAGTGATACATAATTCTAATTCATTTGAGATGTATCACGACATTTGATTAGTCAATCAAAATAATTTGCGGCAGTATAACCAGGAGATACCGTCCAAAGATTTCTCATTTGCATATGAACCCCTGATGGCGATTGATAATGACGTCAATGACCCCGAATGACCCTGACACGTGAAATTGATCACGGCAAAGTGACCAAGAATTTGAAAAAAACACTCAAAAAGATATGTATGACAGGAGTGAGTCTTATACATTTTGTTCATGAAATAGCTGTATTGACGGGGGGAAATCTCCTTCTACACAGTTCCCATAAATACATAAAGATCTCCTTCTACACAGTTCCCATAAATACATAAAGATCTCCTTCTACACAGTTCCCATAAATACATAAAGATCTCCTACACAGTTCTCATAAATACATAAAGATCTTCTACACAGTTCTCATAAATATTCATAACGAACTCCTTCTACACAGTTCCCATAAATACATAAAGATCTCCTTCTACACAGTTCTCATAAATACATAAAGATCTCCTTGTACACAGTTCTCATGAATACATAAAGATCTCCTTGTACACAGTTATCATGAATACATAAAAATCTCCTTGTAAACAGTTCTCATAAATACATAAAGATCTCCTTTTACACAGTTCTCATGAATACATAAATATCTCCTTATACACAGTTCTCATGAATGCATAAAGATCTCCTTCTACACAGTTCTCATAAATTCATAAAGATCTCCTTCTACACAGTTCCCATAACTACATAAAGATCTCCTTCTACACAGTTCTCATGAATACATAAAGATCTCCTTGTACAAAGTTCTCATGAATACATAAAGATCTCCTTGTACACAATTCTCATGAATACATAAAGATCTCCTTGTACACAATTCTCATAAATACATAAAGATCTCCTTGTACACAATTCTCATAAATATTCATAACGAACTCCTTATACACAGTTCTCATATATATTCATAACAACCTCCTCATAATATGTCTTGAGTATGCTAATATGAAGTAAAACATAATGATCCAACCAACCTACTGCATAGAAGGGAAGGGGTCCACCGGGTGTAGCTCTCTTCCTAGGGGGAATGAGATCCTTGACTCCGCATCGTTCACCGGCCATTTTTCGGAGAGTTTTTTTGTCGAGTACTCCCGTCTCTGGTAATCCAACTACCTTCTGGAAATGTCTACAATACAAAAGAAACTTTACCCAAGGAAAACGAAAACAAAATAGTATATATAAAATAAAACATAAAATCAATAAAAAAGATTAAAAAAAAATGAAAAATAGAATCAAAACGACATTGACGGAACCGTGTTATTGAAATAAAATGCGTACCAATAATCAATTGTTGTTTTTTGACATTGAGCAAGGTCAACATGTGACGTCAGAAGAAAAAAACGTATTTCATCGGGAGAGTTATTGATTTTATTCTACGATAACAAATATATTCTGATAATGTTTATAAAGTGAGTTGCAGAATATGAACATGTGTATATAGTCATCATTATGGATGCACAAAAATACGACAAATACATATAACTGTTTACTGATAACATCCTAAACTACCAATTATCAAAGGGAGCCCATGTTAATCTATGTTCTCTATAATCCTCAAACAACAACTTACTACAATAGTGTATTACCTGATAGCCCGTTCCCGATCCTCCGGGCTGTGGCTTGCATCCGTTGGCATTGAAGCTTTGTCGTCAAGGTAACCATATTCTTCGAAAAAAATCTGAAAAAGGATTCTTTGAAAAAAAAAAATTCCATATTTTCCCTGATTCAATTTGTGAAATTGAAAAGTTAACCAATATATTTTCTCGTGACACATATTTATGTATTACGACATTGAACAAGTATCTGACTATTAAATATGGGTACCAGTGCATACAACTGAAGTGTATCCTTCGTGCTAAAGATTGCATATATACACAGTGTGTATATAAGCTAAAGGGACCACTGGCATCAGTTATAGGCGCAAAGAAGGTTCCACTCTGAGATCTTCCCCCTTTTTATAGAAAATGAAGCAGATTAATATTATTCTGTTACATTATGCGTCTTTCATGGATCATTTATTAATCATACACTGTGCAGCCCATCAAGTGGATTCTTGTTTTGATGCCGTGCATTTATAATTCCTTTATGACAACAAAATTAAAGTGTAGAATTTGATATGCAGAGTTCAGGAGTCCTACCTCTGCAGTTTTTCTGTGTTGTTTTCCTCTCAAACATTCAAAGTTCGAACAACAATTAACAATGATAAAATAAATTGAAACTTGCAAATATCCTTTATTTTAACTTAATAATAGGTATAGGTAACATATATTTACAAAATAGTAAAGCAACTTAAATATGAAAATTAAAGGCTATTATTTGAACCGAGATAAAACCAAAATAAAAGGAACATTTAAGTATTCCGGGCTATTTTTTTATTTTTGTAATTTATAAATGTTTCAATTTTACTTATATATTTAATGTTTTGTATTTGCCCTATCTGGGTTTACTATCAAAGGTGTGAACATATCACGATTCCTCAACTGAGAGCTCTCTTAAAGTTTTCAAGTAAAAGTCACTTGTTTGTAGTCCGTATTTACGCTCATGGGAAGGTTTTTGTCATATTAACAACGGAAAGAGCGACAAATGGCGTCAATAACAATAGTGCAAGTAGGGAGACGGTTTTTAACAATACTTGACCTTTGTTTCTTTATATGCATTCAGGGGTTATTTATGACTTTATCCCTTAACTTTGAAGAAACGTTAAACGATATTTTAACAATGAATGATCTATTTAGAACAACAAGGAACCTTTACAGTTTATCCCAAAAACATTTTTATTTCATATTATTATCTTAATATGATGGAATATTTGGTTGCTCCTGACACAATACGTCTACTTAAATAAAAATAACTAAAACGCGTAGGTTTACTATACTCACGAGAAACACATTTGTCGATGCACAATGGGAAATTATTAAATTCAACTGTAAATTTTGAAGGAAGCGGCCTGTGATTTCCAAAGGTCAATCAGGCTATCATAATGGAAATGACAGAACATCGACTTAACTTGCAATACATTTCCTTTATATGAAATTACAATCGTTTTTGGAAAATGTCCTTTGCATATAGAAAAGTATTACTGGAACGCCCTTATATATATATAAAAAAAAAAGGGGGGGGGGGGCTTTTGATAACCTGATACAAACTAATAAATTGACAAATCCTTTCTTGATAATAACATTTTGAAAATATGTCTGTTTATTTCTACCATAAGTAAGTTTTGAAGAATATTCTAAATTGCAAAACTGTTTCTTTAATAGATATAGATCATTTTTAACTTATTTGTATTTGAGGTGTCATTCGCTTGTGAAAGAGACAACATTCTTGAAGTGTAAAAGAGCTTTAGTACAATACTCAAAGATTCAAAGAATTGCATGGAGTTCGTGACTAACACCGGCCAATAAAATGCATAAAGCGAAGTAAGCTTGAACGGCAGTGAGTTCATGTCATTTTTCTCTTTCGTGTTTACCAGTGCCAGCTGTAGGAAATCAGAAAATCCCAGTCGAAATATCAAATTATTCCTGTTTTACTGCTTGGCTGTTCAGTCTTTTGGACTATAACTAGTCATACCAATCCTTGAACGTTAAAATTCGTAATAGAGTTACATGTAGTATCTAATGAACTATTCCCTAATGCTCCCTGTCAAAGACAGACATGTCGGATTGGCCTTTTGGAGGCTCATACAGACGACGATTACAAGGACAGGTTTAACATTTACGATTCTAAGACAGGAGAAATATTACAGCTCGCTAAATGACGGCAGCGTGCCTGAAATACAATAATGATGCACACTCGTCTCGTCTCCCCAACATAAATGGCCAATCAAATGTCCATTTCACGATACAGTATCAGACACCTTCGGTGCAATTGTAAGACTAAAACCATAAACTATAAATGATATTTAGAATGTCCTGATGTAAAATTGATGTAAAACCGTGGATTAACGATGCTATTTTGTTAATACTATCTTGACTATAAATTTTGAATAAAAATTCAGATTGATTGATTTGAGTAACTGCGCATCATAGAATGTGTTTGAACAAGGCTGTGTTGCATATCAGAAAAAGTATTAGTATGCATTTAAGCCTTTAAAATAAGCTGAAAAAGTAGTTGTAAAAATAAATATTTTAAAATTAACTGGACATATTTCATAATCACATACAATATCTATAAAATGGGGATATGTTTAGATAGTTAGACAACTTTCGTCATTTGTGAACTATCAAATTATCTAGTTATCTAACAATGAACTGACACCATTGCATCCATCTTTCATATTCTTTATACTTTTATTTAATCATATTAAAATTATTTTCCTCGCCTAGAGCTTTATTCAAAATATTAAGTAAATATTTCTATTTCCGTTGAACAGGCTTTTTTGAAAATACTCCCAACCTAAAACGTTGATACGAAACAATAACATTGCATGTGAAAATTTTCCAACCGGATCTATATTTTTTCTAATCTTTCCGTCATTCTGTTGAAGTAACGACGTGACATCAAATTCAAAGTATGACAAAAAGGTTGATTGGTTTCTGATTGACACTATCTACCTGGCGGAACAGGTACGCATAAAGCAAGACATTGACTCCGAAAACAATTGTGTTCCACAGGTAGGCAAAAGTGTGTCATGACCGGGAAAAAACTAGCAGAAAGAGGAAATACTACCTGAAGGCACCTTTCCCCGTAAGCTATTTTCCACATGAATTTTCGAAACATTTTAACTATACATTTTCAATCTTTTGACATTAAGTACCAATTGTTAGTAATAACTGAAATGATAAACGTCATCGGGAATGAAGACAGTTTCTTAAACTGTGGGTGATTTTATAGATATACTGTACTGTAAACCGGGAACATTTTGCCGCAATTAAACTTTCGCTTTTTTGCCCTTCGTAATGAGGAAAAAATTACCACGACTTGGATATTAGTACATAATGCTAAACATAATAATAACATGTGCAGGACGAAAATGGTTTCTACCAGTGAAGGGCGAAAATGGTGTTTACCAGTGAAGGGCGAAAATGGTTTCTACCAGTGAAGGGCGAAAATGGTTTCTACCAGCGAAGGGCGAAAAATTGACTGGGCGCTTCCCGGTAAACAGTAATAAGATATAAGAATGTCATAGATACTGTGTATAATATCTTCCAAAGTCATATCAAACACGTAAATATAAACAGTATCAGATTATTACAAAGTTGTAATAAGGAAATCATTGAACGTTGTCCAGCTGAAAACATGGTAAATATAAGCCATGAAACGTTGTACTGTCAGATTATCTACAAATATTACTACAAAATAATCTTCGCTTAATCCGAATCACACGTAAATAAAGGCTTAACAATCCTTGATATTATTCATTGGAATTTAAAGGTTATATCATGTCAAATATTTCGGACAAAAATCTCATTATAGACTTATATTTTTTGTACTTATTTTACGTGTGAATAGAGAAATGCTGCTCTGTGAGTATTGTGCATATGTAAGTTGGACCCTCCTTTTCAACAATCTTCTAGAGGAGCTTTTCCTTCCTGTGTAGTACTTTTATTTGTTTTTATTAGATAAGCCCCGTAAAGGTTGGTAATTTGAATGATCTCAAAAAATGCTGAATGGGTAAAAATTGCACAAACTTGATTACATCACACAAATTAATGAAAGAGTTAACTTTCAATGAAGAGTAAAATTTCAATTATTTTGATCTATGCACAATAGTTTGAAAGCATTTACATATCTTTATCGCTTTAGTTATAATTTGAGAAAATCACTATCAAACTTTTTGATAATAAATAAAATGAGTTGCTTTAGAAGGAGACATATTTCAGCTATAATCAGTACTGAAAACCTTACTATAGCTGTCGGTTCAAGTATAGAAAACATAGGAAAAACATATGTTGATACAGATCGATCTGATGTAGATCTAAGACGGATACTCAGTGGAACGGAGTTTTAAAACCTTCGTTTTCTAGGAGAAGACATAAAGACTTTACAAAAAAAAGAAAATGTCTAATTAATTAACAAAAACATATATAATGTATGTTAAAGCTGTCTCCACTTTTTGTCTTTACCCAAATATAACCAAACCTCTCAACGATTACATCGTTCAAGACTTGTTTACCGTCAACTAGAGACATGCTAGCGAGCAAGGTCTTGGGGACACGTTAGATGTTTTTGATGGCCTTTCACACTTTCACAAAGGCAAAACACATTTAAGAATAACTTGACATTTAATTTGTCCGTTTTGTCGGTCGTGGTTTAAGTTGAATAGGAATGGTATGTTTTTTTCAGCATGAGACTTTGAAATGAACATATTTGTATTTTGTGTGATTAACATTCAGTTAAACATCAACTATTTTGGACAAAATTTTCGACACAAAAAAAACATAGCTTCTAAACATTCGAGGCTGTGTTACCATCATTAAATACTTACATCCGGGCTAAAACTCGTGCAGAGGGAAGCACAACACATGAGGAGTAATATCACTGGTAAGGTCTTCATTGTCTTAGAATAACTATTATTGACGTCCAAAGGTGCGGACGTGCTATGAGAATAGACTGACCGTTGATCTTCCCAGTGGAGGCATACAGTAAGTTGTGTTAATTGGGTCAAGTCTTTGCCGAGCCGGACGTTGACACAAAGACCGCTCTATACAACATCCGGTAAATTGTGGCGTGTGAGGGATGATAACGAAGCATTAGTCGACTTTATTTATTTAGAGAGTCGGACGATTTACTGATTGATGCAATTAATAAATTTACTGTTTATAATGGGGGTAGGGGGGTGTAAAGAGTGTAGCAATGGTACAGCTTCTCTTTCACAGCATATTATATGTGAACCGTAGCATGAGCAAGTCATACGTGCATAACAAATATGTGAGTTTGCATCTTATGATATACTATTTACACATCCAAAATATGTATAGCCACATCTTTTCCAAATTTATGCCAACTTGTGAAAGCTAGTGTATGGAGGCTCCATCTGCAGTCGAGCTTATTGTCATAAGAGTAACCGTTAATGTAATTGGGTAGTAGTATAAGGCTGAATATGTTTATTTTCGGAGATACGAATAAAACGGAAATATTGACATCTTCGTTTCTCTCTTTTGTAGTAGGATACCGGCCATGTTTATAGAGTTTTAATTATAAGGACTCTCTGAAAAGATCATCCCTGTTAGTCATTCCGGTTTTTCTTCATGAGATTCCTTAATTTACCTAGAATAAATGTGACGTTGAACAATTGGACAGGGTATCCCAGGTGCCACAGGTAATTGAGCCTGTCCTTTTTGCAGAGGTTAATGATTTCGTTCCATATGTTATGTTTTTTATTGGCTTTTCACATTGACCTTGAATAACGATTTTTATCCTCCTTGGAAATTGATGTTTTCATGCAATGATTTGTCAATTGTTTTGTTTGTAGGTGCAATAGCTTTATTTAATTATTTATTTATTCATGTAGTTATTATTATTTTTTCTATTAAACTTCATTTGCTTTAATCGAATGGACATCATTAACAAAAAGATCGGCATTTCGATGATGCAATATGATCTTCAACTTAATAAAGGAAATCTGTTAAATCTATCAATATGACATGCGATTACTTACTATAGGAATATGATGTGATATAGTCTAAAAGTGTAACCTCTTGTTGCTTAATCAACAATACTAATAATATATATTTAAAATGACCAAAAGAAAAGAAATTTTGAAGTCATCAGCACATTTTTTATTTTAAGGTGTATTCAGTTACTTTGTATTCATTAGCTTTCCATTACAATGGTGTGTTTACAAGCTATGCCTTGTGTGCGACTTATTATGATTTCTTAGTGGAAATAGTGGAGGGGGCTTTAATCTTCTATATTCGTATCAACAATACACCGACGTCATCAGCCAAGACCACCTCTCACGAGACGTTTCGTGACTTAACTAAGGCGGTATTTTCATTATCATTAACAAAAATCATAATTGTTCATAAATAAAACAATAGTTCATTAATTTTGTATTACACAGGCTAATTAACGTTGATGAATATTTCCATGACTTTTCCAATATTCGTCTAAAAAGAAAAAAAAACTCATTTACACATGACTGTGGGAGCATCAATCCGCTGACAATTCCTTATGTAATGGACTAAGTTCTTTTGCATGTGTTTGATAGGTGCCTAACGCAAGGACCCGTAACGTCTTAGATAATATGGAAAATAAGAAATGAAGAAGAAGAAACAAACATATCGAAATACGTAGGTGACGAATCATTTGACACCAACAGTCCACATTTATCCGCACTTTACTGGTTTGTCTGGTGAGAAACCGTGTGTTTTTTTAATTGATTGTTTTCATGTCGGAGAGTATAAAAATAACAGCGTCTAGACAATAAGTTAAAAAAAAAAATTGAGATTGAGTACGCCATAAGACACAAAAATGACGTGGGTTTTTTTTAAATTCAAGTTAATAACCACAGTTGAATACTCTAGTGGTTTGCCTGCAAATTAAGAAGTTTATAATATGAAATCAGCATGCCCTCTTTATATCGTATCGTATTTTATTGTAATCCCCCTCTCATCATTGTGTTCCAACATATGGATTGTAAACACTTTAAGCCGTGAGACGCTGTAACAAACGTCTGTCAGGATGGATTTCCTGTGACGAACTCGCGACACAAGTAGTTCTGACTCACATCCAGACCACGAACAGGATATACAATGTATGTACCAACAGGCTTAACACTCCACTTACCACAACTATGACAACGACATTCTACTTAAAGACATATGCTATATCATAGTGGTAATTATCTCCCCTCCTAAAGGGTTCAACATAAATGATTACTTGGTTACATTTATATGACTTGCACAGTATATAACACACATACTGTAAAATCATAGATTTTTGTGGGACATAAAATTTCGTGTATTTCGTTGATAACAAAAATCAAAGACATCAAATCCCCACGAAAACTTAAATTTGGTATGATATAGATAGGAGAAAAATCAACAATCAGTGAAATATGATGTCCTTGAAACAGGCTAGTATATGGAAACCACGAAAATTCAACCCCACGGAAATAAATGATACTACAGTACTTAACATATATGGTTTATGTTTTGGTTTAATAGAGATCAACGTCCTATCAACAGCTAGGGTAATTTATCATCTCATTTATATTTCTCCGTCAAAAACAATTACCATTTGACTGTCTGATTAATTAAATTGAAACCATAGACACACATCACGTTAAAGCACCCGGAGACTTTAAAGAAAGCCTAACCTCTTCTTGTGTGAGAAACCAAAACATTGTATATTGTACTTCATTCTGAGCCATGTGTGATGTAATTGTATAACCTATATGCTGTATTGCATTTGGTAAATAAAACTTGAACTTGAAGAACAGCTTGGGCTTCAGAATGGGTACAACGGCTTGGAAACGATGTTTAACCAATTAGGCTATAAACATGTACTGTTAGTGGTATGGATGTACCTTAGCAAAGCTAGTATACCGGATACAGATCATTATTCAATAAACCATAATTTGATTCCAAACCTCATTTCAACAGTATCTAATATCAACCCAGATACATGTTCAACAATGTAACCAGCCAGGAAGAAATTTAAATAAAAAAGGACTTGGCTTAACAAATTTGATAATACGACGTCTTTCATGCCAATATTGATAAGTTCAATGTTAATCTGGCTCTATCTAATCCGAAAATTACTAAACAAATGTATTCCAAAAAGTTTTGGAAAATTTAAAACTTAAAACTAGTAACGTTACAAACCATTCAATAAGGAATTATCACGTATTATAAAGAGTAGCCGTTCTTGCAACACATGACCTGGCTGCCAGAGTCCACGCGCACAGACCACCATACGGCCGCCGTCTAATGTTACAATTAATTCATTAGCCTAATTATCCCAATTGTCAAACCTAGTCCAAACTTGAACATAAAGACCTATCACTACACTAACACTTGATTACATAAGATTTGCATACGCTTACAATTAAAGAATAATTTAACCTATCTAGTATCTAGTAATTAACGAATCATTGGAGTCTAACTAATTTAATTACACGTACATCAAAGGGACATAGCTCTAAAACAAACTAAATCTACCACTATAGTACATCCGGAGAAAAAGGTGGACAGACACATACCGTCGCAATATTTTGATTTGCACTTTAAATGGGTTTTTTGCTGGTCTCGAAAGACTATCTTTATTGCCATTCACCTGGAATGGCCGATCGTATAATTGGTTTAAAATCTGTATATGGCAGGTTGATATTGGTTTTGCTGGAAGTTTTATGCGTTTTATCTGCTCTGTAAGCATTTTCATTTCTCATTTCATTTTCACGTGGCTGGGAATCCATCGAAGAATAATTTTTTGCACATATTTGATATGCAAGATGTTCGAATAGACATGTTTTGTATTCGAGTTCTTTTGAGATCTCGTAATTGAACACTTGTAGAGGGACAATTTAGTGAAGTAAGATTATTTAAGATCTTGCCACAAAATTCCTCATAATAGTGTAGTTTTGTACTCCATATGAACAATTTATATGGAAAAATTGAAAAGAGACAATGTTTTCTTGGCGTAATTAATCAGTAATGGAGAAATTTCACAACTTTACGTACTTTACAACGGTACGTTTTAGTGGCAGCTGTCAGTGAACTTCTAGCGCTAACGAATATGTCTTTCTGGCCGAAGAGAGGTAAATTCTCGCTTATGTGAGAAATCAGACTCACTGACACTGTTTTGTCGGTCGACAGCGTGTGTATTGTACAGATATACATGTTTTCCTTTTACAGAAAGGCCCGGATATTGCGTTATTTCGGTCGTAGCTATCTTAGTCACCGGTTTTCCAAAAAGATAATACTGACCGCACTGGACGTCAGGTCATGTCATTATGAACTATGTAAACTTCCGTTGGGAGATAAATATTTTCAGTATCGACTCGATTTTTAGCGTGTCATTTCATTAAATATTCCATTTAAAGGCTCCAAGAACACATCGCCATTCAAGTCCATCGCCATGACGACACGCTACCAAATCTATTTGGAACAATCTTAAGTTTAACTAGAACAATTTGCAGATGGTGAATGAACTTGAGGCAGAGAACCACATGTACAACATGTATCGTTTGAAATTTTCGCGAGCTATAATCGCGGTCCCCAACGATAGCGCAAAATTAAAAATATACATAGACATGTAACCTGTTTACCCTTTTACTACCAAGTTATGGAGATAAAACACCAACTCAATATCATAATTTTAATACAACATTCGTAAATAGGTAAAATTGCCAAATATAAAGACCTCTCGTGAGCGCAATATTTTACCTGGAAATAGTTCTGAACAGGACAACCGCGAAATAATAGCTCTAAGAATAGAAACAACTATACAGTACAAATGTCATAGCAAAAGATACGTGAGCATTGATATAAGAATTGTAACCATCCAAATATTACCCGTATTCTATCACGACCGGGAAATCTCCCCAAACTATAATAAAGCCGAAGTAATCTAAAATCTAAAACGGTTATAAATTTTAAATTGAAATAGAGTAACAAATAAAGCATATATCTTTATGTTATAAACACCATACGATTTAAAC